TGTTGTTGGGGGCAATATGCTGACTCTGTAAACCGCTTAGAGAGGGCTGAAAGCCCTATGAAGCGGTATATAAGTCTAACTGCTATTGCTAAGTAACAGAAGCTCACTCTGTTCGAACCGCCCACCTTTCTGATCGACAAGCGCAGTGACGTAGCCACTGAGCCCCTCTTATTTATTATAATATTTTATAAATATGTATTTATTCATTAAACTTCTCAGCTGCCCATCTTTCCGAGGCCGCTCTAGATGGCTTAGTCATTCAATAATAGAACTCACACCACCTTTAAAATAACGTAGAGCGTAAATTAACCAAGGTGGGGAGAAGGAAGCAACGTAAGCACGGAGAGGAGGTTGGGATCTGTCTAATTCATTAACCACCTCCAAGATGTCGCTCCCTGAGGCCAGTTGGCAGAGTCCGGTCTTCAAGCCTTTCGGAAGGCCCAATGGGCGGGTGTGGGTTTCAATTTTTGGGGGGTGGGGGAGAAACCCGATGTTCAAAATGGTGGGATTCACGGCAGAAAAGGACTCCACCAGCAAAATTATTTGACCAACGGGGTGTCTACCGCACGTCCCTGGTACCAGCGCAAGGGGGATGGGATAATCCAATTGGGTGTGAATCGTTGAAATGTTGGAGCTGATGTAAGACCCACAAATCAAACCTGCTCTGGAGTCTTCGGCGTAACTCAAGGTGGGCCTTGCTAGTCACAGGAATTGTTATTTCCCAACATCCACATTCCCAGTTCTGCATTCTGAATGTCATAAGTTATGTGTCGCTGGAGATTCTCAAGTCATCCCGGTCATGGCTGTCCCAAAGGTGCTTTTTCAAGAGGCAACTGGATTTTTTTGTTTTTTCTTTGAAATAGTTTCTCCTCCAAGTAGCTTCTTCAGCTCTGTCTGGATGGTGGGGAATGGAGGGATTTATACTCCTTGCAGACAGTTGGTTTAAAAGAACGCAAATGACCAGCTGTCTGCAAGGAGTATAAATCCCTCCATTCCCCACCATCCAGTCAGAGCTGAAGAAGCTTCTTGGATGAGGAGCGAAACGCCTTCAAAGAAAAATCAGGAAGTCCTGTTGCCTCTTGGGAAAAAAAGCACCTTTGGTCAGAAGTTATGCAAAATCATAAAAATTCTATACCACGGGGGTCAAATACAACAACCTTATGCCCTGTGGACTCCCAACTCCCAGCATGGCTGGCTCAGGAATTCTGGGGGTTGAAGTCCATAAGGCATACAGTTGCCATAGTTGCCTACCTCTGACCTATACCGAGGTTGAAGCAGGTTTTTGAATCATTTTAAAAGGTGTTTGAGCTTGAAATCATTCCAATATGACCAAAATGGGGCGTTTGGTATCCAAAATACCACAAATGGGAAATGTTCTGCATAACCATAGCATATTGGTGCAAGAAGGAAGATCCCAGTTGGCTATTAATTCTTGTAATTTTGAAATTATTCTTACACTTATCATAGTTCTTGTATTTTTGTTTTTATTACATTGTAATTGCTCAGAGTTGCTTGGGATAAGGAGCACCGTGACCCGACAAATGCACGCATGACAAAAGCGTGTTGACAAAACCGCGGCGCTAAAACCACGATGTCATCAACGCGCCGACAACAGCGCGCCGACAGAAGCGCGATTTAAGTTAAGGTAAGGGTTAGGGTTAGGTTTAGGTTTACAGCACGCTTCTGTCGGTGCGCTGTTGTCGGTGCGCTTCAGTGCTCATTTGCCGGCGCGCTTTAGAACTCGCGGTTTTGTCACCACGGTTTAGTCAGGCGCGCTTTTGTCGTTCGCCCTTTTGTGGGTGAACCAAGGAGCACAATAATAAATAAAACCAGAGCTCTCCTGCCCTCACTCTGAAAAGTGGAGCGATAAATCACTTTTATAATATTTGACAAACCGTATGAATTACCTCTATTTTTTGCATCCATCCATAGAAGAGGGAGCAAGAGACTAAAAACTTAAGTACAGATATGAATAGGAAATGTCCTTTGTGCAATTGTCTAAATCATTTGGAGGTTAGTCAAACCCAAAGGCTGCACTTTTATGAAACACAAAGAAGCCTTTTCTCTTCAGCATTGAGTGTGATTTATTGAAAGCACATGGTTTACTAGCCATCACGTGCCTGGCATGGCCATGAGATTCTGGTGACTCCCCAAAACCAGATCCTGCTGCCATCAAAAGGATCCACCTGTTGTGTCCCACTTGCATCCAGCAGAGCTGGCAGCAGAGCTGGACAGTGAGGAGGTTGGGGAGGAACATGGGCCAGTCCTGGGGGCTGAGGAAAGCTCAGACG